CCAAAATCGCATTTCCTCTTTCAGCACAGTGGGAGGAACCAATAAATATCTTCTGCATGATGAAAAGAATAATAAAAATGATTATGGATACCATATATTGAACTACCAATACGTGCCAGCCTTTCTAAATAGAGTCACTCTAATCCTGACAACATCCTTAAAATAGACTGTGTTGCTCCCATTCCCCATTTGGGGAAACAGGGTCCCACAAAGGTAAATAATACTCACAGGTTTATATAGCTAATAATTGATAGAACCAGGACTGGAAAATGGTTTTCTGCTTCCAGACTGTGCTTTTCCTACTCTTCTCACGCTTTAAAAAAGCAACATAATACACTATTTTAAATAGGCATCATTTGCATTATTGAGCAGCTGTGTGGCTCTCCAAATTGACTTGTCTTCCATACTGCGTGGAAAATAGTATCTAATCCATGTTAATTATAAATACATAACCCTGTGTTTTAAATACTGGCTGGTTGATGAGTAGTGCCGAGCTAAGTTTTTAGTAAGTGATAAAGGTTAACACCTTGGACAGGCAAGCATATCTCAGCAAAAAGTGCCATATTAATATTGAGGTATTTAAAATCTTGAAGGAACGTTAAAAATATTTGGTCTGGTGTGTCTTGAAGAGAGGGCTATTTGAGTTTTAGGCAAGAGCGGTCTTTGTTGTGCAGGCCTCAATAGGGCTCAGTATTTAGCATCCTTGCCTTTTCCCTTGCTCAAGCCCAGTGGCTCTCCTGTCACGGCAACCAGAAATCCCTCCTCACATGAAAATAACCCTCCCGCGCATTTGAAATGCCCCCTGCTGATTGTCCACATCCATCCTGTGTGGAGCCTGTGGGTGTAGAGATCTACGCTAGATCACACAGTAAGGAAAGAGCAGAGCCAGGACTGTGCTATGTCATAATAGCATCTACTGTTTACATCTGCCAATTACTACCAGATTGTGCTTATAAGCAAAATGAGCACGCCAGTCCTGCATAGTGATTTAAAGCATGGGCTTGGAGGCAGACGACCCATACTGTCTCTGCCGCTCACTAGCTGTGCAGACTTGAGTTGGTTGATTTCTCTGTGTATCATCTCCTCTGTAAAATGAGTATAACCTCCGAGGGTTGTTAGGAGGATTAAATTAGGCACTCACAGAAAGTGCTTAGACTGAAATCTAGCACTGAGTCAGTGTACAGTATGCATCTGGCCTCTGATAACCATCTTCTTGTTTTCCCAGAGCTGTATCAGAAGACACTGAGAACAGAGAAGAAGCAGAAGAAAGATCTCTAATCCTGAGTTTACATTCTGTTTGGAAAAACAGTAAGAAAATAGTTTCTTACTAAAACTATGTAAGTTCTCACCTAATGAGACAGGTGTCTTGAATCAGCTGTGTTGAGATGATAGGTATCAACAGTGGCTAGGGAGGTCAGAGAAGACTTTGTTAAAAAAGAGCTAGAGGGGACGGCCCGGTGGCGCAGCGGTTAAGTTCACACATTCTGCTTCTGGGCGGCCCGGGGTTCGCCGGTTCAGATCCCAGGTGCGGACATGGCACCACTTGGCAAACGCCATGCTGTGGTAGGTGTCCCATGTATAAAGTAGAGGAAGATGGGTACAGCTTAGCTCAGGGCCAGTCTTTCTCAGCAAAAAGAGGAGGATTGGCAGTAGTTAGCTCAGGGCTAATCTTCCTCATAAAAAAAAAAAAAACAACTAGAATCTTACCTGCCCCTGAAAATATGGGCAAGAGGTATACTCATGACAAAAGGAAAGGGGGTATTGGATAAATAAGAAGAGCAAAGGAATTTAAAATTAGTGTATTGCCAGATAAGGGGGTGTCTGTGTGAGGGAGTGACGAATGGAGGTAAATAATATCTACAGAAAAGAGCAAAACATAATTAGAGAATGGAGCAATAGCAAATACTAGCATGTACAACAGATTTGGGGCTGACTCGAGGGAATTTCATTTGCCTCCTTGGAGTAAAGAGCTTATCCATTCACAGACCTTTAACCGTAATCCCAAGAATAGTAAGTGAAGAGTGAAACTAATCGCAAGACACTGAAGAGGCATTAATTGTTTTAGTCATTGTGGCTGGTAATTTGGGGGTATGTTCAAAGGGTTAGATGTCTTTGTCTAAGAAAAAAGAAAAGAAAAGGGCAATGTTAGGCAGAGATGTAATGAGAAAACACAAAGGAATTTGGTTGGATTAGCCCAGAAAAAAAATACAGCCTGGGGTAAAGAAGGTAGGGGGTGAGAAGAGGGGCAGTTACTGAAACCTCATGTTCAGCATTTCTTTGTGCACCACACAGAAGCATAGTTCCCGGCAGTATGGAATGTGCAGAATGATGTAGGGGTGGGCTCTGTTCGTAAGAAGTTTACATTCTTAGAGAGTCTGTATAAAGGATGTAAATAAATCACTTGAATAAGAGGGAAGGAGCCACAACTGCTCTGGTAGCTTAATGGATGGAGAAACGGCACCCAGATGGCGGGAGAAGGGTGGGTCATCTGTCCATTGAGGATACAGAAGCAGCATTGTATTAGGATATATAAAATATGGATTCACTGCATGTTCTGCTTCAGCGGCCCAGGGTTCGCTGGTTCGGATCCCAGGTGCGGACATGGCACCACTTGGCAAGCCATGCTGTGGTAGGCGTCCCACGTATAAAGTACAGGAAGATGGGCACGGATGTGAGCTCAGGGCCAGTCTTCCTCAGCAAAAAGAGGAGGATTGGCAGCAGATGTTAGCTCAGGGCTAATCTTCCTCAGAAAAAAAAAAAAAAGCAAACCAGAAATTAATAAAATATGGGTTCACATCGTGGTTCTGCTCCTCAGGAGCTCCTTTGGCAGATATTGGGCAGTATTTCCCTTCTCTAAAGGTCAGTGTTTTCTTTTTTTTCCTGTGTGTGGGTGTCTTGTGTTGTGTTGTGTTATTTTGTTTTAATCTCTGGTTGCACATTACCATCGCTTAGGAAGCCTTTAAAAAGGACCAATATGGAGCTGGCCTGGTGGTGTAGTGGTTAAGTTTGTGCACTCTGCTTTGGTGGCTTGGGGTTCCCGGGTTCAGATCCCAGGCACGGACCTACACAGTGCTCATCAAGCCACGCTGTGCTGGTTTCCCACATACAAAATAGAGGAAGACTGGCACAGGTGTCAGCTCAGTAACAACCCTCCTCAAGCAAAAGAGGAAGATTGGTAACAGAAGTTAGCTCAGGGACAATCTTCCTCACTGAAAAAAAAGGACCAATACTGAGCCTTATCCCAGACCATTTAAATGAGAATTGCTGTAAACTGGACTTGGGCATTGACACTTTTATAAAGAGTTTACCAGGGGGCTGGCCTTGTGGCCAAGTGGTTAAGTTCACACACTCTACTTTGGCAGCCCAGAGTATACCAGTTCAGATCCTGGGTGTGGACCTACATGCCATTCATCAAGCCACACTGTAGTGGCATCCCAAGTAGAGGAACTAGAATGACCTACAACTAGGATAAACACTTATGTGTTTTGGGGCTTTGGGGAGAAAAAAAAAAGAGGAAGATTGGCAACAGATGTTAGCTCATGGCCAGTCTTCCTCACCAAAAGAAGGACCAAAAAGAAGTTTCCCAGGTGATCCTAACGAGCAGCAGGTTTGTGAACTACTTCACTTTAGTTTGTTTATAAGGATGGCAAGGAAGTAAAGCTAAATGATGCTTAAAGTCACTTCCAATTCCTACATTTTATCATTCCATTCATCTTTTCATTTACAAGTTACCTTCTCCTTCTACAGGTGAAGAGACCAAGATTAAGACAAGGAATGAGACTTCCCCAAAGCCAGTCAAGTCACACAACCAGAGTAACAGAGTCTGAACGGTGATCTTGCTTCTGGTCCCTAATCCTGTGCCTTCTTCCTCTATCCCTCAGCCAGTCATCCTCCTGGATACATTCTGAGACGGTCACCAAGCAGAAGAGTTCGTTTAAAGGCTTAGAGAGTTTAGGAAAGTAAAATGCACTTTGTCAGCTCTCTAGAGTTGGATTTTGCGTCAGTGATAGCAGCATTGGGGTTAGCAAAGTGATGATCCAAAGAGCGGTGTGATTCTCCCATTCGCCCTTTGGCAGATGTTCTGCCCTATTAGAAAGAGCTGTTAGGCTCAACACAGCTGAGACTCGGAGAAATGTCTTGCTGCTCCCCGGGCTGAACAGTAGAGGGCGACAAACCTCAGAGATTGCCTTAATGGGCTTTTTGACCACCAGGTTTTTATTTTCTCTGAAATATTCTTTTTATGAAAAATATCTATAAATGACCCTCACCTCAGAGTTACAAAGGAGATTAGATTAAAAGTGCTGCACGGAGGCTGGCGTGAGTGATCTCAGAGTAACAAACTCGAGAAGGGAGGAGGAAAACGACTTGGGACCCAGCAGGGAATGGGCGCAAGGACTATGCTAGTGTCCATCAATTTCCAAAAGTGGGTGTGGGAGGTATGTGTGCACCTGCGCAAAAGGGATGAAAAGGCTGCGAATGAGGGAAATGAACTGGATGTGCGCAAGTATGTTGTAACATCTGACCTCGTGTTTTTGGGCTAAGAGCATGGTCTTTAACGGCCATTCAAAGTCCGCCTGGCTTTTCTTTTCCTTTTCCTAGCTTTTCTCAAGGGATTTATCACAAAGGATGTACTAAACACAGGGTTGTGAGTTTCAAGAGGGCAGGGCTGTGTCTGATAGGTCCACTCCTGTGTGACAAGGATCTAGCACCGTCCTGATCCACGATACATACGCACCATATATTTGATTCTGCTGATACCGTGCATGAACACTTACCTATCAGCCCAGGCAGCCTCTCCTTAATAGTTTTCCCTTAAACCACCTCAATATTTACATGTCCCATCCTCATAGGTAAGCAAATGCTGTATTTGCCTGTGTGTTCTCAGAGCTTAGTTGCAGTCCGCTTAGCAGTACATGGTGTTGAGTTCTCCTCTGGTGCTTTTTGGTCTTAGTACGTGTTTGACGCTGTTCTCTGCTCAGTGTGCCTCTCAGCCTCTGTAATCCTGCAGACAGTGTTTAATCTAAAGAAATCACCTTTATTCTAGGCGAAAATGGCTCCCAGATTTATTGCCGGTGTTTCCACCAGCTCATATTAATTTTCACAGCCTCTAAACAAACTGGCAAAATAAACGCTGAGGTAGCAGCTGCTGTAATGCTCCCAGGTAATTCAGGTATTTTTGCGTGTTATTGGTGCATTGATGATGTTTAGAGCTATAAACAGTATGTAATAATGGATACATAGCCTTCCCTGATCAATTCAACTAACGTTGATTGCCAGGTGCATCTTGATATCTAAACTTACTTTTCCATTCCTAAAATACTGCAGCTTAAAAACATTAATTATAACATATAAATTGATCAGTCATAGAAATCCTTCTCTAGACAATTAATGGGAGGCTCTGCAGGAGACCAGGTTATGTAGGTTTTGCTTGTTTATTGATTTGTTTCTGTTTTGTTTTGCTTTGCCTTACCCAGGAGAGAGCTTGTGACAGAAAGTCAACACGGTCACATTTAGGAGAATAAATTCATTTTGAGTTCATGAAAGCAGCATTCTCCCATTCTCCCCACATATAAGACCTTAGAAAGGTGTGAACAGTCCCTAGAAGGATGTGTGTGTGGATTTCCATTATCTGAGAAAAGGGATGAAATAGGACTGTGTGGGTTTCAAAGGTCGAAAAGGTGGTACAGCTCAAGACTTAGTGGACAGCCAGGAAAAAAGAGACAGGAGTCCTTATTCTGCAAGAGACAAAAACATAAACCAAATGTGACATAGTTATGGGTAAGGCCAGCTTTCTGAGGCGTAGCTGCAAATGGTAATGAAAGGGACAAATACATTTGGAGTTGTACAAATCCAAGAATTCTAGTAAGGGATAGCTATGACAGGTTTTAGCACTAAAGGAGTAGAATGAGCCTTCCTTGAACATCTAATAACCACTTCCTGGAATTGCATCAGCAGTTGACTGACATCATTTGCGGAGCTGAGTCTCTTTATTCCCACAAGACTGTGTGTAGCATGATAGTAACTGTCAGTAGCTGACTTCTGTTAAGGAAACTGGACTTTCTGTTGACCCGTGCAGGCCTCCAAATTTCTTCCACGATTCAGTGGGAGTGAGAAGCTCCTAATGGAAAATATTGCTGGGACTCACTGCTGGTCTGATGGTAGGGCCCTCCATCTATTTTATTTGCAAACTGAAAGACCAATTTCCAAATATTAGAATCCTGAGTCAGTAGAAACGTTCATATTGGATACAGGCAAACTTTTAGGCAATTTAGGCAAATTTAAATTTGTATTAATGAAAATGAGATCATATCTCTGTCTCTTAATGTTCTTGGAGTTGTTAGAATCTTCTTATTCCTCCAGTATTACTAGTTGTATCCCCATTTTATTGACAAGTCCTCATCTTACTTCACTTCTCATATTTGTTGCTGCCGATGTCACCTCCTTCGTGAAATATTTTCACATTTTGACTTCCGTAACATCCTCCCTTTCTTGCCTCTCCTCAGTTTGCGTTAAGATTCTTTCACTTCTGCCCAACTTTGAAGTTGTCTGTGGTCATCTGACATGGTTTGGCCAATAGAATTTGAATGGAAGTGTACCTTCTAGCCAGCAGCTTTTAGAACCTGGCACAGCAACTGGCAAAATCTAGGTGGCAGTTTCTCTATCATGCTGGAATCTGGATTGAGAATGACATGGAGCTGAGCCCTGAGCTGACACGAGGTGAACATGGAACAGGAGTGAAAATAAACTTTTTGGCTAAATTCACTGAGAGTTTTATATTGTTTGTTATTGCAGCATATTCTCTCCTATGCTGACTCATGGAGAAGCGAGTACCTAGAAATAGAGTACTATTGCAAAAAAAATTCCAAAATACGTGGCATGGGCCTAGGAATTGTCCAACAGGTGGTAAGAAAATTGACCCAAAGTTGGAAAGAACATGCTTTCTGTTTTGCAGACGCAAAGCATTTGCTAATGCTGTTATGTGTGGTAACTTGGGAAGAAATTCATGGATCTTATGAACTTGTGGGTCTAGGAGAAACAATCATGAAAGAGAATTTAGTACTTCTGGCTCCATCTGGCAATGTATCAATAAAGAGATGTTTTCAGAAAAGTGTTGCCCAGCTTGTAAGTAAAAATCGAAGGGAGTAGAGAGAATTCATTAATTCAGGGATTTTCAGAATTGGAAGAGGAAATTACTTCTCAATACCAACCAACAAGGAATAAAATTGGGGAGGTTTTTGAGTAGTAAAGGCTGATTAAAACTCAGACTTGTAGCAAGGATAAAATTAAAGATATGACCTTGTACCCATTGATACAACCTCTAAAAGGATGAAATGTTTCAAAGTTATAGGACCAACTAAAGACATTAAGCAGAGTAAATCTATTCAAACGCATGCACAAAATGGAAGAGTGTGACTCTAAGACGCCCAGGTACACGTGATTAAGTTGAAAGAGACAGTGAAAGAGAGAGGAGAAAAAGGAGAAGAGAGGGTAATACAGAAGTGAGAAAACAAAGAAGCAGACTATAGTTAAGAAGTGAAGAAGTACGTCTTGAAGAGAACTGGGTATGTTGCTAGTAGCACATACAACTGGCTGGAATCAAATAGATTAAAAACAAAAAACAGGGGCTGGCCCCATGGCCAAGCGGTTAAGTTCACACACTCGGCTTTGGCGGCCCAGGGTTTCACCGGTTCAGATCCTGGGCACGGACCTAGCACCACTCATTAAGCCATGCAGAGGCGGCATCCCACATAGCGCAACCAGAAGGACCTACAACTAGAACACACAACTATGTAGTGGGGGGCTTTGGGGAGAAGAAGGAAAAAAAAAGATTGGCAACAGATTTTAGCTCAGGGTCGATCTTAAAAACAGAAACAAACCCTAATTTTTGGAAGGGTTGTACTAACAATGAACCAAAGACCTAGAAAACAGTCTCAAAATTATGTCACTTAATAAACCAGTTGAGGAACCTTGGAATGTTACGCTTAACATTCCAAGAGAATGTTAGAAGAGAAGACAAGCTACGATACAACACATATTTTGGACATATTAAGAACTGACATTTAAAGGAAATACAATATGTAGAAATAGAGTCTAGAGTCTGTTTTCCATAGAAGAGTGAGTACATTTGGCCATGAGCACATTTGAACTCAGTGTAAGAAGGTCATTTCTAATGAGTGCTCTCCAGCAATTGAACAAGTTGCCCTGAAAGAACTGAGCCATCTATCATTGGATGGGTCAAACCAATGCTGACTGTATGGCTTTGGGAGGTGGAAGGGAGTGGTGTACAGTATGATTCATTGCATGAAACTTTAGCTGAATTATTTGTACCTTTCATATATTAATACTTATGAGCCAGGCACAGACCTAAATGATTTCACATACATAATCATTATATTTCACTGAAAATATTTCCTGTCTACTACTTCATATACTAGAAATATTCAGAGCTAGAATTTGAAGCTAGGCGTTTGAAATCTTCCAAGTCATGGCATCCATGAGTCCGTTATTCATATCTTCTGCTCATTGATATTTTTTTCTCTACCTAGTGGTTTGTTTTAATGAAATGGCATAACAAATTCTTATTGTCATTGGACAGTGCTTTTCAGCGAAATTGCGGATGGATCTAGTAGAAGGAATTTTGGAATCCAAATCAAGAAACTTACAGTCTTGGGCTAACCACTCTTTACTGGATGGCCATGGGTTGAAATTTGAATCTGTTCTTTGATTCCCTATTGCTTAATTTGTAAGAAAGACTCTGCAATCTACCTCTGCCTTTCTCACAGTTTTCAACTGAAGATGGGATCATATTTCTTGAATGGACTCCTTAGAAAGAGAATGTGATCTGCTGGCAGATTTTTCAGTTAAAATTTGCATACTTCACAATGGTAATATTTAACAAGACATATTCGTGATATAAATTCTGTGTCTGCCATGCTTCACAGACGACCCCGTCCCTCATTTTTTCTCTTCTGCAAAGCAAGGTGCAACCCTCAAGAATTTTCAGTTTAGGGAGAACTCCTCTTTTGTGTCTCAGTATAATTCCTTGTTCATTTGCTTCTTTAGCATGTTCTCGTCTTGTTCTTACCTCTGCTGAGTTCTCATCGAAGTTCTGAACCTACCTGGGAGAAGCTGGCATTAAAATATTTCATTACCGTTCATTGAGCAATCAAATACTGGACACTTTGATAGATTTGAGTAGATTGGTCCTGTAAGCTAATCCTCACAATAACTATAAAAATTGGGCTTTGAAGAAACTAGCACTCAGAGAGATTAAATAACTCATCCAGAGTGCCACGACTAATAAGTATCAACCTGACTCCAAAGCCTGAGTATTTCCACCTTGGATGGACCACTTCCTCTTCTTCAGCCAACCCATATCCATAGCTCCATTGTCTGTGATCACATTCTTCCCTTCCCTATTGTGGTTAGGAAAGTCTCCATTGATTTCCACAGCCCATTAGCAGGTTTGAAGATTAGCACAAATGCATCATCATGAAATTCAAACTTAGGCTAGAATTGAAGAATCCCTCCATTGTCCAACTCCAGTGTAATTCCACACACTACCATTGCTCTCTTTAATGCATTTTATGCTCCAGCCAAATAGAATTGTAAGTTCTCTGCCAACTAAAACGCGAACTCCATAAGAACTGAATTACTTTTGCCTGTCTTGCTCACTGCTAAATCCCAAGTCCCTACAATAGTGACTGTCACAGAGTAGACACGCAACTACCAGACGTTGGATGACTGAATAAGTGAGTGAATATGCTGCTCCATCCTATCTCTGGACGTCATCTGAATGCCTTACATCCATCTTTACCTATATGACTCCTACTCAATATTCAAGGTCTAGTTCAAAGGCTGCTTCTTCCATTCTCAGCCTGAAGGAACATAGAGTTAATGTCTTAGTCCATTTGGGCTTCTATGACAAAAATGTGATAGATTGAGCACCTTAAATAACAAATATTCCTCATAGTTCTGGAGGTTTATAGATGGTTGTCTTCTCGTTCTGTCCTCACATGGCGAATGAGGTGAGAGAGCTTTCTGGGGTCTTTTTTATAAGGGCATTAATCCCATCCGTGGTGGTTCTACCCTCCTGACTTAACAACTTACCAAAGGCTCCACCTCCTAAAACCCTCACATTGCAAGTTTAGGGTTCCAACATATGAATTTTGGGGGACACAAACATTCAACCCAAAACAGTTAGTGAATATACAAAATTTCTAATAGTAGATTTGCTTCTATGGGCTTGGAGGTAGGAAGTAGCAATATACGTGCCAAATAGTCTTCACCATTGAGTTCCTCTTTTTAACTTTGTGTATGGAAAACTTAAAGGCAGTGAGAAATGATTGCCGTAAGATCACACAGCCAGTTACTGGCAAGAACGGAATGAAATCCAGGCTTCTACCCTCAATCCAAGTTCAGTATTCATCCCACTTATCTCGAGAGTAATAAATTATAAAGCTTCAACACTCCTGAGTTGCTAAAGGCTAATTATTATTTTTAAAAGCATATAAAGAAAAATCCATATGGCCTATTTCTACAGGTCACCATGTGAGAAAGTGCAAGTGGGAAGGAGCTTAGATAATTCATTGGAAAGACAAGCTGGCTGTATATGTGATGAGGATGGTAAGAATGCAGCCAACAGTAGTCCTTGTTTTCCCTGCACTGCCTGAAAATCCATGACAAACATGGTAGCTGATAAGGCTAAGGAGCTGTGGGAGTCTGATGCAGTTTGAATGAAAGGATGAGACTACGAAACAAACTTTTTTGAGGCCAAGGCAGCAGTAATCCCTCTTGTGTATACGTTCATGAATTTGGCCTCCCAGATATAGATTTGTAAAGAACAAAGTAGCAGCCCATGGAAGGCAGTGGGAAAACCAGCTTTACAGGCAAAATCTCAGAAGGAAGGTGGGGAAAAGGAAGAGAAGGGATGCAGTGTGGAAGACGGATCGGGAATCCACTGTTCATTGGTTTTGTTTCCTTACACACAAGTCTACTGTCCCCATATGTATTTTTAAAAGGATGATAATATATTGGGTAAGAAAACAGTAGGTTACAAAGTGCTACTTCTAAGATAGTATCTTATGTGTGTAAATGTATAGGTTACAATTTGCTATTTTGAAGTTATGTTCATTATCTCATTTGAGTCTCACAACAATAACCATGAGGAAGATATTTCCCTGTTTGGGAGGGGAGATTTTATACTTATCAAGATGTTATAAGGGAGGAAACTGAGGAGGAGAATGGCTGCTGTGGAAGGGCAAGCGTGACAACACAAGGCCTATTCCAGTACTCTCTCGCTTGTGGTACAACATGACACCAACCTTTCCCTTCGCATTCTCTTGCCCAGTGCTCTTTCTCTTGTCCTCACATTCTCTTTTTTTTTCTCTCTCTCACGCTTGCTCTCATCCTGTCTTCCTGTCCATCTACTTTACTCTCTCTTCTTCTGAGTCTTTCTATTTCCGCTGGAAGAAATTAAAGTATAAGATTTTTGTTGAATCCAGCTTTAAGTAGAATGATTTTGAAATTTTAAAAGGTTAATAATTTTTGTTCTACAAGTCCAGAAACTAAAAATATAGAAACAAAAAATATAGAAAAAATATAGAAACAAAAATATAGAAAAAATATAGAAACAAAAAATATAGAAAGATACAGAAACAAAAAATATAGAAATATCCAGACCCCTCAGATGTATTTATGTCCTGTAAGATGTGATAATAATTGTGATATTTTATTTCTATGTCACAATTAATAAAGGAAAATAGGTATGATATATACAAAAGCATACACACACAAACTCCCCTCAGAGAATGGAATGATTACAAAGGGAGAGACATAATAAGCCTAAAATATAAACTGATGCCCACCTAAAAACACTTCCATTAAGTTCCAGCAAGTCCCTTTACGTTATTACCAGTAAAGTATATGTGGTGTTTCTGTAACTGTAGCTTCCTATTGTTATTTTGATCAGTCAGTACGATGTTAAGAGCCAGATTTAGTCCACTGTCCTGAAGTTCATTATCAATATATGTAGAAGTTCAAATAACATGGACTTGTACTCACAGAACTAAATGGAAAACAGAGAAATAAAAACAAACGTACTGCATGGTATCACTTATATGTGAAATCTAAAAAGAATATCAGACTCATAGAAATAGAGAAAGTGGTTGCCAGGGGCAGGGGCTGGAGGCAGGGACAAGTTGGTAAAAGGGTACAAGCCTCCAGCTATAAGATGAATAAGGTCTGAGGCTCTAATGTGTAACGTGCTGACTATATTTAATAACACTGTATTGGATAATTGCAATTTGCAAAGACAATAGAACTTAAATGTTTTCAACAACAAATTTTTTTTTAAATGTACCACTGATTTCTATTCCTGTTCTCTTTGCTTTACGTGGGAAGCTGGGCCACCAATGAAGGCAAATTATGCAGGGCTTTAAAATCCAGTCATGCATTTACACAAAGTCACAGACCTCAAACTGCTAAGAGATAAAGATTGTAATTCTTGGTCCGAGAGCAAGGAAAGATACTTCCTCATTGTTAACTGTGAAGCAGACAATTTGAGGTTCTCTTCTTCAATCTCTGCAGTTTATACAGCTTCACGGCTTCTGCCTTGTCCCCAGTTCTCAATCTAACATCTGCTCAACTGCCATTTGCAAGTTGAAGCCATGTACACCCAAACTCATGGTCAAAAAGCTGTGTCTACAACATGTGGGGATTTTACACAAATTCACAGGATGTGGTCAAGGTAGAGCAGATAAGAATCTAGTGCTTCATGGGACAACAGAATCTCCAAAAGCAGAAACAGTTATCGTTGCATAGCGGAGTCCAGGGGTCACCAGATATGATAACGTCCCTCGATCCTATCACACCTTCAGTTTCTGCTCATTTTCTCTATCAGTGACATGCAAGATCTTTATGGGTGGTGGCTTGACTTTACTGTCACTTCCATCTTGTTTTTCCTCTCTACATCATCCATGACTTGAACAAACACTCTGCTAAGAACACCCCATACCTAAGGGAAGAGCTGTGGCCAGTTAGAAGGATGCAGGCAAAATCACAACCTGAACTTTGGGAGCTGTTTTGATTCCACAAGCTGCTGTTGTCTTAAGCACTTATGACGTGGCCTGGAAAAGACAAATAGTCTTCTGAAAATATCTCTACAGGAAGAGCCTTCTCCCCAGTACCTATAAAACATTCATAACACCTTCATTGTGCCGTAAATCCTTAGCAGGAGTTGATAACAGTGTATGAATTTTTAATGTAACATTTATAAATGGTTATTAAAACTATCCTTAAAGTAAAGTGTCAGTTTATTTTTAATTAACTGTTGGCTATTTAAGCTCCCAGATGGCCTGGGGAAAGACCAATAGGCCCACATGTCAATTATTCTCCCTCCTGCCCCGTCTTTAACCCCTTGTTGCCTGCTGTCATGGAGACCAATGCACATAAGCTCTAAGAACTTAAATAAACTGCAGATATGGTCTCGGAAATGTTGTCTTATAAAATAGTCCTGGATTATCTATCAGCTACCATGGCTACCACACAGCTGTGAGGTAAGCACTGTCGATTCTGAATCCTCACAGCCCAAACCAATCTCCACGTACCTATATCCAGCAAGAGAGGAAACTGGGGCAAAGAAGAGTGATGGCTGGATTCTAGAACACTAGACGTGAGGCTTAGGATTCTAACTCAGGCTCAGTGGCATTCTACTTGTATGATCCTGAGCAAATCTCAGCTTCGTGGAATGTACTTCTTTATGTGTAAAGGTAGGGATGATGCAAATGGCTCTGCCACTCTTAAGAGGTTGTAAGCATCAAATTAAAAGCTGAATATGAAAATCTTTCACAAACTACAATAAGCTGTCCACATGTATGGTCTCCTCTTTTATTGTCTTTTAATTATCAGCCATCGTCTTCATAGCCTCCTTGTATAGATTGACTCAGATTCTGAGTCTGACATTTCTTTCTACAACCCAGAAATCAGGGAAGCCCATTGTGTCCAGATGCTTTAGAGTTCCATTCTTTCATAGGACTGGAAAGATTATTTCATCCAGGGTACAAATTCTTTCTGCCTTATCCCCTGAGAATTCCCATGTGGTTTCTGGTGGCAGTCCCAACAAGAAGCTTACGATACTTTATAATTAGAAAATCCCATTGTTAGAGAGATCAATCTGGTTCTTTTGGAGCCTCAGGTTCCCCAGATAGGTGTGCACTGCCGTTTCCCACCAACATGCTCAGAACAGAGTCTCCTCTATTGGTTATTCTCTCTGTGACTCTTTGCCTATGTTGTATCGCATGTTCCAAGAAACGTAACACCCAACATTCCTGCCCTTCCTTCATTTGCCTCCAGATAACATTACCCAGTCCAGCATGGGAAATATGAAAATCCAGGAATTTGGTCCTCATAGGATGCCTGTGAGTGCATGAGTGTGTGAGCACGTGTGTGTAAGTGTGTGTTTGTATAAACATGTTCCTTAAAAATACTCCTTAGCAAATGGAAAATTAAATCTGCTGGACATGCCCCGAAATTCCTTAGAAGAGCATTCCAAATCCTTTATTGTCTAGCCTGGTATGCACCTCCGGTTCTCCTCTGCTCCCACTCCAATCCAGCCACCCTAGACGCTAGGAAGACTGAATTACTATTCCTCTGAATGGGCCACGTTTGTCCCATGCTCCCTAGAACTTACCCATACTGCCTTTTCTGCCAAGAGTGTTCTTTGTGTCCTTTTATACCTGGAGAACTGAGAAGTTCTAATCATTCTTCAATATTCTACTCAGGTGCTGTCCTCGAGGAAGTCTTCTCTGACCATAGAACCCCTGTGCTCGCTGCTATTATGACATTTATGATATTACATGGCAATTTCTTTTGTTTTTTAAGATTGGGAGCTGAGCTAACATCTGTTGCCAATCTTCTTTCTCTTCTTCTTCTTCTCCCCACAACCCCCCAGTACATAGTTGTATACTCTAGCTGTAGGTCCTTCTGGCTGTGCCATGTGTGGTGCTGCCTCAGCATGCCTTGATGAGTGGTGCCATGCCTGGGCCCAGGATCCAAACTGGCAAAACCCTGGGCCGCCGAAGCCGAGTGCATGAACTTAACCACTCGGCCAAGGGGCCAGCCCCATATGGTAATTTTTTGATTACATTTTTGTTTCCTTCATGAGAGTGTGAGCTCCGTAAGAGATGAGTAAACATCCTATGTGTTCGTGAGCCAGTTTTAACACAGTGCTAGACCCAGAGGAGGCACCAGTGATCACTTGTTGAATAAGAGTACAGATTGCGTTTCAGCATAGGCTTTGCAAGTGCTGCTGATCACATTTAAAGGCAAAATAATTACTTCTTTTTTGGATTATGTCCTTGAACATTAACCGAGAGTTTACCTTGTGGTCAGGAATGATGATGTTCCTTCTCATTTAGATACAATACACTTGAGGGGTTGCAAGACATTTGAGCTCTAACGAGAAGAAAATTATATGTATGATAGAACAGGTTTGGGCTGTGATTGTACATACAAAGCTTCTCTAGACATAAAATTACTAAATGCTTAGTAAAGAAAAAAGAATATAGGAGAGAAAACCGTGGACTTGGAGTTAAACACAGTAAATTGAAGGCAGACATTTTCCCAGTCTTTTTCTAAACCTTATTAAAATGATAGTGATTGATCAAAAAAGAAATAAATCTATAGAGTAAAAGAGAATGAGAGAAGCGTTGATGGATAATGAAACGTGTCCATGAAGTTAGAAAGTGCAAGACTATGGATAAATAATGACTGACTTAGCCCAATCAGAGAAGGTTGAGGGATTGACATCATGGAAACCTAGAGAGGCAGGAATTGGAGGCGACAGGTGCTTCTGAAGTCAGGGATAATGGATGGGACTAGAAATGAGATGTGTTGAAAGTACATGGAAGGAACAGTTAACCTCTCAGAAAAACTCCCTCAAAAGCCTACCACTCCTTTCCAAAATAAGACAGGAAAATTAGTCCCTTAAAAGGTTGAATCACAAGGACTCTAGTCTCAGAAACACTAGGCACAACTGAGGTTAGCCAAAGACAGTGCAGGGAAAACAGAAGTATTGACTGGAAGTCTGCCCCTACTTGGCTTCCAGAAAGCTGGAAACAAAGCTTATGTCCCCCAGACATTCATCTCTGGGGAAGTAACTGGTCAGACAGGAGAGATCTGTATAAGCAGACATCTAGCAACATAAAGGCCAGGTCCTGGCCCATTCATTTTTCAGTGAAGCCCACCAGTTGACAAGTTGCACCCTTATACACTGCTCCAAGGAAGCACCTTAGTAAGGTAGATAGGTTAGAGAGATAGATATAAAATTAAAGCTCATATGAAAAAAAGAATAAAACGAATAAATTTTAGAAAGGGAAATCTGAGGAAAGAAAAATAATACAGAGAGCAAAAAGAAATGTCTGGCAAAATATAACTATTCCTCAGAGAGAAAAAATATATTTAAGCAATGAAAGAAAAGAAGATGTTGTAAAAATGTTATGGATAGACAAAAAGAAAGAGATCTTGAAAATTGAAAACATGGTAGCAAAAATTAAACGTATATATAATTCAAAAGAAAGATGCCATGTTAGAGAAAATCTTCCAGATAGTGAATAGAAAAATAGATATAAAATAGGAAATAAAAGATAACATAGAAGATTAATACAGGAAGTCTAATATCTGACTAAAGTAAGTTACAGATAACAGACAAAAATGGAAGGGAGGTATTTACCACAGAAATAATTCAACAAGGGCCCATGGAGTACCCAGGATATCAAAGCACATCATTATAAGATTTCAGAACATGACAAATAAATCAAATATTCTTAAAGCTTCCAAGAGATATAAAACCAATCTTATACAAAAGACTGAGAATCAGAAAGGCACTAAGCTTTCTAAAAACAATGTGGAAACCTGTCAGTCAGTAGAGCAATACTTTAATAATTCTGGGAGAAAATCATTTCAAACGTAGAATTCTATACCCAAACCATTACTTAATATTAATAACAATGTTTCAGACATACAGAGTGGGACTCAAATTTAACCCCTAATGTGCACTTCATCGGGAGGATGGAGGATGTATGCCACCTAAATGAGAGAGTGAGCTAAGAAGGAGGAAAATGCAAGAATTGGGCACCAGGCAATCCAACTTGAAAGGGGTGAAGGCGAGTCCCAGTATAATGGTTGAGCAGAGTCCTGGGTCATAGGCCGGGAGCAGCCTATGCACCAGCAGTGCTCCTATTGGAGGGCTCCTGGAGGATGGCTCCAAGATAAAAGAAAGGAAAACAACTCAATGCATTAGTATCACCTGATGCATTTCAGGGAATTGAGAAAAACTTTTGAGACTGAATTAGTGATAAGTACATGGAAAAGTAAGCCAACGGAAAAAAAATGAGTCATCTGTTTATTTTAGGAGAAGTCACATATCTGTATATATGCACGCACACATACAGACAAATACACACGCAATCATGGCAGGCTATACGCTTCAGCTGTCACCTATATTTATATTATCATAATCATGCAAACTATGAGCATACATTTATATAAAATTGATATAACTATATGAGGAGAATGGAGAAAAAAGATTTTAATTGGTGGATCATGTATGAGAAACAGATTCTCTTTTTTCATAGTATGACTTCAAGATAGCTAAGCATTTTCATAAACAAACAAAACAGTATACCCATTTCTTAGGAAGATGGAGATAAATACTTGAAGAAACTGGTTAAACCAGTTAAAAATGTTGAAAGTTAACTCTGGGGAGAAACACTGTAGGGGACTGCTTCTTTTTTTGAGCTTGAGTTACTGAGTTTTTAAACCATGAATATTTTGTTTAAACAGATTAATAAAGAGAAGGAGGAGGGGAAAATATCCTTGGAGAAACACCACATCTAGAAAGCAGGAGTTACGAGAACATGAAAATAGTATCATAATCAAATAGTCTTATGAACAAGAGAGGATGGAATGCCCCCAAAAATGTGGGGGAGGGGAATCAACAGTGAGAAATGCTTCAAAGATTCAAGTCGAAGTGAGGACTGAGTAAACATCACTGAATTTGACCATGAAGGGTCATGGGTAGCTGTGAAGAGGGCAGTTTCAGGTTTGGCTTCAGATTCTGGCTGGGAGAGGTTTTCAGACAAATCAAGAATGTAACCTCTCCTACCCTCACACTTCTGCCCTCAGGTCACTGTTCATCTGATCAGCTCAGCCATAGTCAGTCTCTCAGAAGCTTTCGATATTCTAGGTAAACAAAAAGGGAGATAAGAATCTTTCCCACTCAGGCAAGGGAATTGCTGTTTCTCCCAGGGATCAATCCATCAACTATTTATTCAGCTTCTCCTGGGCATTGCTACTGGTTGCACGAAACAAAACTAAACAAACACATGGTTTTTGCTCTCAAGGGACATGTGCTCTATTTAGACAGAAAGGCACCAGAAGATGAAATGAAAGAACTAGAGATGGGCATGAAGAGTCAAGTGATAAAATGTGTAATTCAGTCTTGACCTATTATAAAGGCTCATGAGAGCTACAATAGCTGGGAAGCCTCATAAAGGAAGTCTAGGCTCGCACTGAGACTTGAGGGTATTATAGAGTGACAAGAGGGAAAAGGTGATGAAGGCAGGGAAAAGACTGCTATAGGAGATG